CTTTGGCTTTATGTTGTTTGGTTTTTTCATTCAAATACGTTTTTTGTTAATGGAGACTGAGAATCCATTAACATTTTAATGTCCATTTTAATGGGACAAAAATGGGTCAAAGTGTGTGGATGCTGTTTCACAACATTGGCTATGTTGGAAGTCGACTTGTTCCTGGAGCGTCCCAGTTTGCATTGCTCTGCGTGTCGTCATGGTAACGCTTGTGAAAGGCTGACCTCTTGTTTGTGTGTTTGCAGCATGGATCAGGTGAAGGGGGTGCTGACTCTGCAGGGAGAGGCTCTGACTCAGGCGGTGAGTAACGGCGTTTGCTTCCTGAAATGCTGATTGAAGCTGAATAACATCTTTTAATGCTGACCTTTGCTCTGCAGGACATAAACCTGAAGGTTGCCAAGAGCAGCCAAGTCCTGCACTTTCAGTTCAGAGAGGACAAACAGTGGAAGCTGCAGCAGGTACCGCGCCACGCCCCGTCACTTCAACACGTTCAGCTGACAGAAAGGCTCAGAGGCAGCAAAGATCATTTCCTTCAACAAGATGTTAGTTGTTTCACAGAGTCATGCTCTTGGAAACAATTTTAACAACATAACTGTGTTATTATTTTACTATTTCAATTCTACTAACACAACGATAACCTACAATTATCTGTCTACAGCAGTTGAAGTTTCCTTGAGGCTTTTTATCACACTAAAAAGTATAAAATAATCTGGAGTTTAATTAAATGTATTCACTGGGGGAAATCCCACATTAAAAATACACACCTTGACAAGTCATTGATGGTTAACCAGTCCTTACAGGAAGTTGCAGTTGCAACCATTGATGCAAATTCACTCAGCATGTGCAAATTTTTTCCACCTCCTTGCTATGTTCACAGCTCCTCCGCAAATCTGACCAGTCACCTGAATGTTTTCTGTATTGTCTCATTTTCTGTCCGATCACTGCAACACCGTAAAATTTTGACCAATCCCTAAGCCCCGTTCTAATTTAACTTCCTGTTTCATGACGTCTCTTGAAAGTCGAACCTGTGAGATGAAAGCACGTATGATGCTAAATGGTAACATTTGCCCCCCCGCCTCTATTTATTTTTTTTAAATTCCAACCTCCTATATCTTGTTGCAAAATTACTTGTAAGTTATTTCTGCCTTATTTCAAGTTTACTAACATATTTTGCACTAGAAACTACATGAAAAACACTTAATAAGATTTGGCGATTTTGCAGGGCAGATAAGAAACTGTGAAGTGAAAATGTACCTTGAGCATGTAGCGTGATGAAAAGACCAGCTGGAGGTTGAGACAGACGTGGGTAAAGTCTGACTGCTCGGTTCTCCATGATCCATCAGATCCAGGACGCCAGGAACCACGTGAACCAGGCTCTGCTGCTTCTGAGCAGCCGCGACGACACCTACCAGTTCAAGACGGGTGCCGAGGTCAACAAGGTCAGTTTCTCTGAGCTCGGCAGCACCTCGGTGCACAGCTGGACGTGGCTGACGGCAGTAGTCATAACGACCGGATGGCTCTGTTCACTCTGCAGCTCATGGACGCCGTGATGCTGCAGCTGACGCGAGCTCGAAACCGCCTCACCACTCCAGCATCGTTGACTCTTCCAGAACTCGCCACCAGCGGTCTGATGGTTCGGCCAGCATTTCTAAGGCTCTAACAACACCTGGAAACTTTTCACATTTCAAGCAGAGCGGCTCATTGTGTGTGTTTTATTGGGATTTTATGTGACGGACCTACAAAAATTTTTGCACAGCTGTGAAAGCTGTAAGTCCAGTCGGAGCAGTTTAGTTCAGAAGTGATCTAATCAGTGAATAGAATCCAGCTGAGTAGGATTTAATCTGATTGTTCTGGCTCTGCGTTACTGCATGTCATCCCGTTTCATCAGATCCCAGTAGAAAACACTGATGGTTCTGGTTGTAGTGAGTGTGTGTACCGGTCCAGGGTGTGTGACGCCATCGTTTCTGCAGCTTCCTGTTGCCTCACACCATTTTCTGTCATCTGAACTCCAGAAAATGTTCACTCCCCCTATGCCTGGCGACGTGATGGTGAACTTTTACATCAATTTAAGCAAGCTGTGTCTGACCGTCTACCAGCTACATGTGCTCCCTCCCAACACCACCAAGGTCAGACCCTGTGACCCTGCAGTGGACCTCCCTGCTGCTCATCCGGCTGCTCTCTCACTGCTTTCCCTCCTGTCTTCCCTAGAACTTCAAGCCAACAGGAAGCTCTGTGTTGCACAACCCAGGAGCGATGTTGTAAGTTTGATTTCCAGTTCAGTCTGAGCTGGTCATTGTTTTTATTCATTGAGCATCAATGAATAAAAAAAAAAAAAGCCTGCCCAGCTTATTAAGCTGGGCAGGCTATGGTGTAATTACTTTGGCCACAAATTGAAAACCAAACCAGGAGAGTTCAGCTTTAAGTCAGAACTGAGCTGCAAACAGCAGCTTACAGAGCTCAAATAAATAGAGAAAAAAGGGCAGTGTTATATATTTTCTAGGAACGTAGAGATGTTTTATAGCACAGTTAAGTAATTATTCTGCTGTTTATATCAAATATGACTTATAAGAAATTTGATTTTGCAGTATAAAGCCTTGAAATTGGGCCTCTGTCTCTTTAAGAAGCTCCTACTCTTTCTGACCCTGCCTTCGGCCTGTGATCATGACAACGCCTCTCCATTATGCCATTTAAAGCCATTCTTAGAAGCGTTGGACTGAGAACCTGATTGGTTTTTTGTTGTTGTTTTTTGAGGTGTTTAAAGTCATGTGACTGTCTAAGCAGCTGCTGGATGAACATCCAGCTGAGTTCTCAGGAAACTGAATTAGACTGAGATTCAGTCCTGAGTGAAGAGAGTAAACGGTGCTGACCCAGCATGTCAGCCGCTGTAGGTTGTGTGTTTCATTAACGCTGTCTTCCACAGTGAGCTCAACAACAACCGCTTCGAGGTGAGCCACGTTCACAAGGTGGAGTGTGTGGTGCCGTGGCTCAGCGACACGCTGGTGTTCTTCACCATCTCCCTGCAGCTCTGTCAGCAACTCAAGGACAAGGTGGGCCGGCATCACCAGGGCCTCAGCCTGAAGCAGAGCCATTTCTTACAAGGCTGTGCTTGTTTTCTTGCTGCTTTTGTTTTTAGATGAAAACTCAAGAGTTTATTCCACTGAGCCGCTTTAAATGACTCAATGTTTGATGGGTCAGTGTGTGGCGAACAGTGGGGTCCAGCTGGTAGTTTCTGTGGGAAGTTCTGAGTGAAGTGTCAAAGATCCAGACCAAGCAGAATTATGAAGACCAATATCTCTGTTCCTGCTCCAAACTCTGCAGGACGGCAATGATAATGGATAATAAGACTCCACTGTGGAGGAATGACATCACATTTAATGGTTAACACTCCTCTATGTCGATTCTAGAGCCTCTTCTGCTTGTATTACCAAAAAGCAACAACAAACACAAATCAGTACTAATATCTCTTTGGGTGCGTTCACACCAGCTCTGTTCAGTCCGCTTCAATCCGACTCCAGTCAGTTTGTCTAGAAAGTCTGCTTCGCTTGGGAAGCTGTGAATGACTAATCAAACCTCTGTCTCGGCTCAGTTGAAGTGAACTCTGATGCGTTTCCAATGCATATGTGAACGGCAAGTGGCCCGGAGGCGGCTCCAAAAGCAGGAAGTAGGCTACAGTGCAGGGCATTCTGGGTAATTACAAACAAAACAAACACGTTAGTCTGGCTCTAGAAGGAGAAATGACACGTGGTGTTTTGCCAAACATTAAAGAGAAATCCTCCAACTGCTAAAATCTGATACCACTCCATTTCCGTTTGCATTTCATGAAGAAGGAAGTTGTGCTCAGCGTCTTCTTCAGAGGTTTTTGTGTCGTTTCCGTCTGTGGTTCTTGGTGCAGCTCCCCCACAGGCGGGGAGGGAAACAGGTTTCTCAAAGGGTTTGGTTGGTTTGAGAACCACAGCAGCTGGAAATGGAACAAATGTTGAGCCGAGTCTACCGGACTGTCAGGTGTGAAGACACCTTTAGTTTGCTGTTTCCAGTTCAATTCAGACTTTTCTTCATTTCTCACATTCATGATCTTGATACAGTCTGGAGAAAAATGAAACAAACTGCCAGGTTTCATATAAACTGATCCCTATCAGGTCCTAGAATGAGGAGCTTTGAACTGTTCTGTGATTTTAACTGGTTTGATTCAAACAGAAAGAATTCGTGTCTAATGTTGCCTCAAAGCATTTAAAATTAATCCAAAATAGTAGTTCCTCCAGTGACGACGTGACTGAAGAGTCTCATCCCTGAAGCAGCATTTCTGGAGGTCACTAACGGGCCGGTGTGTGTTCTGGATCGGTGTATGTTCTGGATCGGTGTATGTTCTGGATCGGTGTATGTTCTGGATCTGTCACGTCTCTGTCGGTTCTGACCCAGTCGCTAACCGGATCTTCTCTCCTCTCTTCCCTCCAGATCTCCGTCTTCTCCAGCTTCTGGAACTACAGGCCGTTCTGATCCAGCCCGTCCTCCACAAACCAAACTAACCAATCAAGTCTAAGGGAAACGCTGGAAAGCTCTTATTTTTCTATGTATTTATCATGCAGTCTGTCAAAGTGTTGCTCCACGAGCTGAAAGCAGCCACACACCACCAGATACCAATATTATAGACCGTAATGGAGTTAGGCCAGCTGACCTTTATTTCTCTCATACGTGTGTGTGGGTGTGTATGGCAACTCATGATACAAACTTGAATCTTTCAATGAATGAATGTGATTATTATTTAAATTATTTCATCATGTAGAACTCTAATGTTTGCCATCGGGATGGAAGGACTGAGCATCAAAGTGTTTTCAGGTTCATCCTGAAAACCCCAAATTTCCTTTGATTTCTTTAAATTTAGCTAGTTTCTGTTTTCCTCCCTCCAACACCTCAGTTGTTCTCTGGGATTTACTCAGCTGACTGCTAGGCTCCTTCTAATGTCTACAAGTTACAGAAACACTGAAATCTGGTGACCCTGAGCCTGTTGTTGTTGTTGTTGTTGTTGTTATTATTATTAGCTTGCTAAGGCCAGACCAGTGACTAACCAGTTGAAATGTTTTCCAGTCAGTGAACAGGGCCCATTTAAACGGATAGTTTATATGTTTTTTTTGTGTCAGTCATATCAGCGTCCTTAGAGCGAGGGTGTCCAAACTTTATGGTAAAAAAAAAAACACACACACACAATTAAATCAAGCTAATAAAATTGTCTGATTTTATTATGCATTTATTTTGATAGGAAAGAGATGTTATTCATTGTAGATCAAAAACTTAAAAGAGTTTTTATGTTTGCTGAGTTAAAAGAAAAAGCAATTAGTGTTTAAATTTGTTCAGGCTCAATTGAACAGACTTATCCTCCGGATTTCAGTCCATTTCTCTCAAAACACTAGCTATATGTAGCCAAGATTAATAAATTAGATTAAAAAAAATAAAGTTGGCCTTTCAGTGATAGTCTCTGGGGACATGTGGTTCTTCTGATTAAAAAAAAAACAGCCAACATTCTGTTGGCTGTTTGTAAGAAAATTTATGAAATTTTCTTACAAAATTCATGAATTATAAATGTAAGAAAATTTATAATTTTCTTACATTTTTCACTGTAAGAAAATTATAAATTTTCACTGATGACAAATTAAAAGTCTCCATCTGAATCACCCACCAAAATTAGTCCAATGGCCACAAATGGACCCGGGGCTACAGTTTGGACACCCCTGCCTTAGAGTGCTGGTTTCAACTGGTATGATCCTGGTAGACTCACCATCAGCCTGAATTCAGATTCAGCAGATCTGGAAGCTCTGCCACAAACATATCTGCAGCTTTTATTTTTAAATGAAACCTCGTTAAATGTTACAGATTTTTAGAGAGTTTGTAATGCTAACGGCGTTCATCATGCTAACTGATGACATAGCTGCGCATTCTCTCTGTACCGGAAAGATGCAGCTCCTGTTTAAGAAAAAGGAGAATCCTCGCTGCAGCGTCGCCTTACAGCCGATGGAGACGGGGAGGAAGAGGAATACATTTCTGACAAAAAATTCAGAGATTTTTAAATTAATCTCCAAAATTTTCTAGAAAATTTGAAAAATAGAAAATTTCAGAATTCTTGAAAGCAAATATTTAACATTTCAAACTCAGAAATGTACTTGGTTTTCTAAAAAGTTTGAGATTTTAGTGGATTTGTTTTGTTTTTTTTTGCCATAAATT